GAAGAATCACCGCAAACGAGCTTGTTCGCTACTCTGTGCTTTCTTACAAAGTGTATCCAGATATACCATGCTCTTTGGACCATCCAATTGCAAAGCACTTGCTCAAGACTGACAGGAGCGGTGCCTGCTCTCTTGTTCTGTGATGATCAACTAGAATGTAGGTGAGAGCTTTAAGTACCTGGAGGGTTTGATCTCCCTACATCGCCTTGAAAGTTTCGATCACGTTTTGCTTATGTCTGCCCATCATCTACCTTTCCATGGTGTAAAGCTGAGAGAAACGTTATTGCAGTCAGACCATGGCATCGTGTGGGAGTATGAAAAATTTAGCCTCATCATTGGCTTTGGTTGGTGCAACCCATCTTTCAGGTTGGGACCCATAAGGAAGAGGATTTTTGTCGGTTAGAAACCCTAAGACATACGGTTATGAGTAGAAGTCAGCTGCGCGGATGGTTTACTGTTTGCCTGTTGAAATTCCATGCCCCCTCCAAAAAACGTTGAACTAACATACACAAAAACATCACAAATTAACGATAAGATAAACAAGAAATATGCTGATTATCGTTTATTTTGATCCACTGCAATTGTTTTTTTCCAAGGCGTTCTATTCTGTATCCGAATCACACCATTTTCTATTATTGGTGTTGCGTTGGTACCATGTTTGATCTAAAATCGGTGATAAATCTGTACGTATGTATATATGTAAACAAATTGTGTCAAAAAAAGATTTCGACACAGAGGAAATTGAGAGTCCAAGGCTCTGAAATAGGATTCGTTTGTGGAATGCCCGCAGGATTATTTGTTAGCGAGTGTTGTATCTGTTTTACCGGTTCCTCCCAATGTTTCCATCCTGCATTGCCCTCGGTCGCTTATTCACCCCCTTTGTCGATTAACTGATCCACAGTAGCTTATTTTCACATGAGCTTACATAAGCGCCCACGTTTGCACCACTTGACTCGATTCCTTGCTCACTTGGCATCCCACCTCCCCTATGTCGGCACCCACTGCTAATTCAAGTTTGATCATGTGACCGTACAATTGCCTCTCCACAGACATGCACACTCAAACACACGCACCTTCCCCGGCACATGTTCCCTCGTCTAATGTGACTTGAACTCTTTGACCTTGTGCTCCGACTGTGATTGGACAGTCATCGTGACAGTCGGTCATGTGTCTACCCTTATTACTCGTGTCTCTACTTCGTCCCTCCATTTTCGCTTTGTTCGGCCGCTGAAGGTTTTGTCCGCTCGATTGGCCCTAGTAGCTGTTACCTGTATCAGCCTAGATCGATTGACTGTTCGGTGAACTCCCTGTGAGAACGCCACGAATTGAGGTTTGTAATCATTATTTAACTGTAGTACCGCCTTTATTGTACGCTAGTAAACCAATCGTACCTAGTTTGATTGCGTCTTTTGGTTTGGCGCGTCACTCAACCTTGGCCTAGAACCCGAACAGATCTAAGAGCAAGATATTCAGTAATTAAAATTCCTATACCGCACGTGGATTGTAGCGCTGATGTTAATGGTCCAACAAAATTTGGTTAATTCAGAGACAGAAGGATTCCATAGAACAAAAGGTTATCCAGTTAAGAATACGCGGTAGCGTATCGGCTCCTCACATACTTATTTAGCCACCAATAGTGATGTAACTGCCGCCATATATTGTATTTCATATTCAATACAATAACCGTTTAATCATGTTCAGTCATTTTGTGGCAGCTTTCTTAATTTTGAAGTGCTTCGGGAAGGAGAAGTTCAGGTACGGATCGACAGAACAAGAATCAAACCAGTCATTCCGCACAGCTACCTAATAAGATCATTGAATGGGTCCCATGAGGAAGCATGGCAATCACAAATCAACTAGTCCCTTGAACGATTAAGTGGTCGTTTGTTTTTGAATAGTGCACAATCTTTGGGTATTGCGAGAACCATTCTGTGCCAAAATGGTCCCTATCCGACTCAAATTTGAAACAGTTTGTTGTTCTCTTGGTAAACCAACAGAATCTGCTGATCGATCACCATCATTTCCGGGGTTGTCGCGACGAGCTGTAATTTTGCCTAACATTGTGAGCTGATTGCCATCTTTTGGAACGGGATTATTGGCCCTCACAGGTAGTTCCATATTTGGGGACGGAAACAACCCGGGACCACGCGAACGAATTTCGTCCACTGTCCAACGAGCCTCGTTCATTTCAGTCAGAACAGGTGGAGAGGTTTTGGCTGGGTCGAATCGCAAGCGCGGTTTGCCCACTGCGGACGAGTTCTTCATACGTGTACGTGAATTGGGATGAGAAGAGTGCTTCCTTTGGGAGACTGGCTGGCATCGCGGTTTGCCGAGCAAATGTTTCGAGATGTAAGCCAAACTGGATGAATCCCAAATTGTAACCCGAGATTTTTCAGTCAGTTTCTTTCGAGAATGAAGCTGTGAAGTAGTGGGTTCATCCAAACGTTGGCTGCGTAAGTCACCTCGCGGTTGAACAGGTAATCGTTTATTCTGAACCATGAGGTAGTTGCTGAAGGCTGTATCTTTTGATATAAATTTAAAAGAATATGGGGGGAATTAATGCATTGTGATAATACCCAGAAAAAACCGTTGTTCTTGCAATCGGTTTTCTACACGAACAATTTATAAAAAACTAGCGGAGTGGTTTTTTGTATCTGCATCAAATGACTGAATATGTTAACGGGAAAGAACGACGAATCTCTCTTGATTACTTCAAATGTTATATATGTGCTATTTTACTAATCAAAATCATAAAACTCGTCAAAAAAAATGATAAATAATCGAACTTCAAAATGCGAATTCGCAATGACAATTTATCGATCTTTTCTAGTGCTCATTCCGAGCTGTAAAACCTATCCTTACAGGTATTTCAGTGAGGTGAAATATTAGTTCGCTCGTGAGACTAAAAGGCCTGCTTCTGAAGAAATGAATACACTAAATAGCAATCAGTTTCAATAAGAAAGTCAAGCCCATTGCTTTTCGGTCAGATGTTAATTGAAATCACTTTGTAACAGCTGAAGATATTCGGGACAACTTCTGTCACATTATTGTACACCGGTTCACACTACTAATAAGTAGTTGACGATAACTTGCCGAATAACCTTTGTTCAGAAGTTCTTCCTATTTAAACACGCAAGTACTTGTTGTCTGCTTGGTTCAACCAGTTGGATTTCTTGGATGAGTCTCAACAGCAAATTACTGCTACGGGGTGTTTATTATTGTGCAATTTAACTTTAAGTTCAACTTAGTGAAATGAATCTCGCATCCCTGAGTATCCAGTTGAAACTGCTCCACGTAAGGCGGTTAATGAAAAACGAACGTTATTCTCATTGGTTTGTGGCATTAGAAAGTTGCATTTTATTAAGCATTATCCGGAGATAAACTAGTCAGTTTCATTGTTGCGCGGGTCACAGGATTAACTATCTATCGTTTCTTGAAGTCATTTGTCGATTTTCCAGCTGCAATCCAAATGCAGATCACTATTCTATGAAAACAGTTCATTTTACCAAACTATGAAAGAGACAACAACAAAAATCAAGGTTACTCACTTAATCTAGATTCTGCCCTGCTGAGACGATCGCGCAGTTCTTTCAGGCACGAATAAAATGGTTCCATAGACAACACTTCGGCATGTTTCGTTGATTTTCTGCTCGGACGTCGATCGCCCGATTGTTTGGGACTTCGCGTACTTCGAACGTTAATTTTCTTTTCAATTGAATTGGCTTGAACCATCTGAAATCCAAACTTAGCGTTATTCTCATCTTGATGAACTCCGCGGGCTTGGCACTCTGATCTCTTCGGTACTTGAATTTCACATGCTCTCGAATCCACCCATTGTCTAGGTCGTTTATTTGCTGCATCCATATTATCACCAGAGCGTTGCTTAAGTTTTATTGTATTCATGCTATTCATCCCGGTTTCCGGTCCGAGAAGGTTACGAATCGGACTGGAGCAGTGTTCTGGTTGCGTATCACACATGGACAAAGACATCGAATGGTAGACAAGTGATTGTGCACTCACACGGTCGTCCACTGCTCCTTGACTTGGACTACGGCCATGGGCAATCATACATTCAAGCACCATGCGTGTTGCACTATCTCGTTTTTCTGGTGTTAAACTGAAATCACGTCTCCGTGGAGGAACACGGAACTGTTCGTCGATCAATGGACCGAAATCATCTTTATCAGTCATGTGATCCCCGTCGAATTGCACTCCAACATCAACTTTTCGCTGCTGCCGTGATTGCAGTTCCTTTTGATTACTTTCACACATTACATCATCAAATCGCCATGTCTTTGCGCCTATCAACATCTGAATTTGATTTGTACACATTGGACATAATTGAATCGCTTTAGACAATGCCGTTGGGATAAAATAATCCAACTCATCATCTCGGGTATTTGTGGGAGCTGTGTTTGGTTGAGTGAATAGCATTCCATTGTATTCGTCTGTTGATCCATTTAGCTGAAATTTAAAACAGACTTCTTTATTCGTCTGTTTTAAATTGTGTGTCACGATATCCTCTCTGTGCGTATCAGAAAGACAAACGTCATTTGTAGATGCTCCCGAGCTCAAAGATCCAGATCGTGAACTTTGAACAGATACGTAATGTGTTCCGTGACATTCTGTAGGCACCAGTGTATTAACTACTGGCGGTGGACTAAAACATTCCATGCTGGTCACGTCCAGAATGGGACAAGGACTATGGGAATGGAGATCCGTTGTGGTTCGATCTGACTTAATGATCGAGCCCATCTCTGAATGGTCTTTCTCCGCCTGTCGAGGATTAATCACGATCGCTTCCTGAAACTTGGTCACACCCATCCTAGTTAGTTTCGAGTCTGCTGCGGATGTAACAACTCTGACGAGAGGAATGTTACAGGGAACATTAGAGACCCGGGTGGTCCAAATATCATTGTGCAATGAGGGATTCGAATAGTCTGTGACATTTTTCTGACTGTTATCCCTTTTCAAATAACTAGATATGACCTCTTCAGATGTATCTTGATCATTGAGTAACCGATTCATTGCCAAACAGGCTGCTGGATAAGCCGAATTCCAGAGCAAGATAAGAACAGTTCGTACAGTGTCTGATCTTACATGAATTGTGCGTGGATTGATCCGCAACGATTCATTGGCCTGTATAATGGTATCTATGAGGCTTGTGACATGGCGATACAAATGTGTGTAGCTAGGAAAACTGGGAATCTTAGCATTACTAGTTCCAACCTCATTAAGACTATCGAGTAATATCTTATCCATGATTAGGCCAACGCTCACAGGAGACGAAGTGACTAGCTGACTCAAAGGAATAGATGGATGACTGCTTGTCAGCTGATTCATCCGATACGTCAGTGTAATAGCCACAGCTTGATCGATCACGTGATTCACAAGCTGAATTACATGTTGATCATGGAACACAGGCAGAAGTTGTATCACTTCAGCTTGTGTGCTCCCTAAACGCGTGGTCAGTTCAATCAAGATACGGGAAAGCAATTTTAGACGGAGAAGATCACGAACCGTGGAAACTGATGGGTCAGCATAAAGTTCATATGAAAGGGAAGTATTTGTCTGATCCCCGGAAAACGAGTGTTTTGTACTTGGTTCCGTTCGGAGTGGTCGTAGCAGCACGGAGCGCTTCGCTGCTTCAGAGGCATAAGTGGCTGTCTTGTTCTGACTGACAGAACCTATGGAGAAGTTAAAAGAATGTGGAGAGTGAAGTCGAATGTCCGGTGTAGATTGACTTAAACACTGTACGCAAGTTTTTATGGATTGCCTGAATTCTGTATTTTCGACTGGGATCGATGGACTCTGATCCAGGGTCGTTTGCGATGGAAGGAACAAACTGCTCGATGAACGCCATTTGTTCGGTGAGAGAACAGAGGATTTAGCAACTACTGACTCAGTTTGTTCACCACTGATTCTATTAAAAAGGGAGGAAAACTTCAAAGTTCTTCTTGTCTCTACCTCGGTTTCTTTTTTCAAATTCAGCTGAGTGTTACCCGCATAATGACCGGCAGGTATCTTCGTTGTTTTTTGCGATGTGTTCAACTTGGAACTGACTTCTTCGGCAATCAAAGACCCTGGTGATTTGGTGCATGTCCAACTATCAGGTTTCGTTGGAGTTTCAGGAAGGTGAACAGAAATCACCTGAATGGATTTTGTCTTATTTTTCGGACGAGGATTAAATGATCGTCGTGACAACACTGCACCCATGTCAAGTTTTGCTGGTGCATTGGATGCCACCGTCTCGCAGGACGCACTAGTAGAGGTAGACGCCAGGGAATTGTAGCTGGTCATGGTAGTTAAATTAGAGCAGCTAGAAGTTCGACCAATAGTTGTAGATCTTCCAACAACAGCAATTTGTGCTTGCCTTGTGAAATCTAACAAACGTCGAATGGCCGTTTGAAGGACGAGTTGTAGGCAGAACGGGATGACTTTATCAATGTCCGCGATAGCATATGACTTACTCAGAGTGACGTATTCAGTAACGTAAAACTTTATTTGTTCAGACAGTTCGCCGATTTGTTGAAGCTTTTCGCTTTGCGGTTCATTCAGTGGGGGTAACTTGTCTGCTTCTATATCATCCAATTCGGTCACATGAAAACAATGTTCAAGCCAAGATAAATGAATCGGGATATCCAATTTATCAATCTCTTCCTTATCCAAACATGTCCAATCGGGTGAGAAAAGTACCATTTGACTGACAGTCGCACGAAATAACCCGTTCGGAATATCGGATGGTAAAGAATGCGGTAAAAACAGACAATCTGCATGCTGACCCAATTTACGGAGCAGGTTTACCTCGTCCCGATCAGCGGTGAGTCCAAGGCCGATAGTGAAAATTGGTGGCAAATTTGGTGGTCCGGTTGGTATAAACCAGATCGGGTTGGGAGGGAAAAAAGAACGTGACGATTGGTTGTGATTATCATATTCGAATAATGCTGACGACGAGTCCTCTAAAAGAAAGAGAAAAATGGTGGTGTAGAAATCAAACAAGAATCCAATGATTGCTGTGCACATATGCATACAGGTTTGCATGACATCATGTTGTAAAAGAATATTTTCTATTATGCTTCTTGTTCTACGACTGTAAAGTTGTATCCAAAACCCGCAGTTACTTTACCATACAATTGTACGCGAGTCGGATAAAAAATATTGGAATATTCTAAGGTCAGTGAATGTTAACGAACTTTGTTTTTCGCAAGCAATAATATGTGTTGATCGTAAGCTCCGCAGCAGATCATTATAACGAGTCGAATACTTCATCTCGAATTGAATAAAGTAAATTTACCCGAAGCACCCGTATAGTCTAGACATATGGCACATCCCGTATTTTCAGTGAATCCGTTTTTAGGTTTCTAAGAGAATCAAACTAGTTAAGGTAGCGACGAAGCTTACCTCCCATTGTACACACCTGGCAATATGGATATCGTCAATGAGTATGCAAAAGTAAGACTCTATAGCTTCACCAGTATTGAGGATCGATGAAAAGTAACTGAATTTGCTGGCAGGGCTGTTGATTTGAAAGGTGGCAAACACCTTGACATTATTATTATTATTATTAAAACTACAGATAGAGGAATAACTTTATAATGAAATTCTAGGACGAATTCATGAGGCATTTGTATGATGTGGTCGACAAGATCCAAATAAGCCCTCTGAGGCAGATGAAGGAGAGAATAAAGATTAGCTTCTGATGGATATCTATCATTCATGGATCGATTGCCGAATGAGGTTTACTATCCATACAAGAAACAAAATAAAAAATAAATATTTTGCTTCCTTTTTATTCCATCGAGCATACAGGTGTGCATTCACCATCAGAACGGGGGCCACGGCCGTACAAAGGGTGCCTGAACAAATACAGAAAATGCGGAAGATTTTAATGAAGTTAGCCACGTGATCAACGCCGTCCAGCGGAATATCCAACCAGTGGAGTGAGACTTGCCGGTATCTTGAAGTACGTATGACACAAAGGTTACCTGGTAAATTTCTGACAACCTACTACGCGTCGATTGCTATTGAGCAACCAGGTGTTTCAGTGGTTTTGGTTTTTAACAATGCTATCGTTTATTGGAGGGATTTGGATGTACAATCACGTACCAAACAGCGAAGTCGTTCTCTCTCGCCGTACGGTGAATTCCAAATTGGTCCACCAAAAATGCGACTGCAACGGTCATTTGCACAGCATCCGATCACCATATCTTATACTTTGTTCACCAAGTTGTGCAAAATATAAAATTTTTCAACAGTCGCTGACTGCAGAGTACTTCGATACTTTTTTATTTGACTGGTTTATCACGGTATGGCTAATGTTTGTGTGCCTGAGCTGAAGAAATATGCTTCACGGATAGGGAAAGCAAACTGAGGCAAAAGGATTGTGTTGCAGATAAAGATTTGTGAATGTGGCTTAAGCTCGCTGAAACAAAGTGTAAGCGAATATATTTTCGGTGAATTCCTTTTCAAGCCTTTGCAATCACATTTATATGAAACAATTTCAACAGAAAAGTGGATGAGTCATGTGTTTGGCAATGAGCTCGTGAGAACTCCCGATTTCCGCGCTTTATGAATTACGTAACCAAACTCGTTATGTTACGTTATGGTCATGTGAACAAGCGATTTTTCTCTTCCCTTGAGAGCTTGAATCAATTTTCGCTGTTCGTAGAGCTCTGGCTTCATGAGTCGGATGCTAATCGCCTCTGCGGTTACTAACGTCCGAAACCGTACTACTCTCGAGGGATGTGGCAAGACTCGATAAATGATTGTAAATGCCGAGTGCATATTATTCAATTGTCCGGTCTCTACCAAATGACCAAGGATCGAGCTTGACACAGCTCTATTCCCACACATGACTCATCCACTTTTCTGTTGAAATTGTTTCATATAAATGTGATTGCAAAGGCTTGAAAAGAAATTCACCGAAAATATATGTTCGTCCACATTGTGTACTCTTAATCAATGGTATACTCCGTGATTTGAAAGTATAGAGTCGTCTGAAGTCGATCGTCGTGGTGATGACTCGTTGATTATTAGGCTAATCCAAATGCTTACGTTGTATGACTTTTGTCGAGAGAGACGTTACTGCCATTTACAATTTTTATGTATTGACTGTTCTTTTGTGACCTGCGTAATGATTACCACAACGGGTTAGCGTAGTAGTTCACTATGGTTTTAGATCAAAACACGGCCGAGCTGCAATACCTCATTTCTGATGTTATGAGTTTTTAAAGGTGACTAAAATAGATGCCGTAGTTGGGTATTTTACCCTTGGTTGGGATTCAGTAGTATCGATGATACAGAAGGCTCATTGGTTGTTTATTAAAATGAACCATTTGGGGTCCTGAAGCAGTCCTTTTTCTCTGTCAGAAATAAGGTTGTCCAGATTACGCTTGAACGTTAAGAATGTCACATCAAATGATGATGGAAAGGTTTTAATGTAATTGGTGAGCTTGGCAAAAGACTGAACACCAAGTTATACTACTCGAGCAAACAACACGCATCACTGCATCAATATTTCCGATACTCCAAAACAGTCGTATTCTAAAGGACGGGAGTCAAAATATCAACTGTATTTCAACGTGTCCCATGATGCTAATCAAGATCTACAGGTGTTGAACAAACTCGTGCAACACCATCGTCATTTTGGAAATCCATTTTAGTTTACAATGTCATACTTATACATAGATGGTTATGAGTACAGTGTATTTGTTCCTGACTTTATCTCCAACATCTATGTTCTTAGTTCATTTCTGTCAACGTTTGAATTTGCGTGACTTTGAGTGTCGCGATAAAATTTGTAGTAGTTCGAAAGTTCTAGCTCTGATTTCGAAAATATTTGAGGCAAAGCAGCATGGGAGTTCATTCTTTTTAATAAATGATTCCTGTCCCATGAGAGTATCTATTAAGTTGAGTATATGTATTTTAAGTTTCTAATCTCTTTTCATTCAGTGCACAGTAAATAAACAAATTAATCAAAATATTCTAGCTTAAATAAATTGATAAATTATTTGGCTACAAACTACTCTCGCATTATCTACATTACTGGAAAAACTGAAAACATGGTCCAAGAAACACACAAGTTGATCTTCGAAAGTCGACCTTGAGGTGTGCGGCTCGTTGAATAAGCGCCCTGTAGTGTCACCATGCCCAAACCGAATTAAACGATTAAAAGGTTTTGGCATGTAATTGAAGCCAAGAGGCAACTTAAACGACAGGCGCGTATATCCGTGGGATCAGTTGGTGTCTTGTGGAAGCGCTTCGATGTGAACATAAGTCCAATTTGTTACATATTCAACGAAATTTCTCTATCAAAACATCAACTGAGAGGGGGAAAACCGGCCATATCAAAGTAAGATGATGGTTGTATTTGATCGCAGCAGAGAAGAGTTGCACAAAACCAATCTAGAGGATAGTCCGGACTGATTAGCCATTCCCCTATCCACCCCCCACGCTTTCTTTTGGAAAATGATGGCTCAATTTAAAATGCAGCTGATGCCACGGGATATAAGGCCGTTATTGAACGCCCAACAAAGCATAGCGCGTATTGATTTTACCAAGAAATTCAAATCACGTCGCCCGCCCATTTGGCAATGGGTTTATCTCACTGATGGCCAACGAGTAATTCAGCATATTGTAAAAACTGACCTACTGAGCTAGTTTTTTTTAATGAATTTCGTTTTACCTGTCAAAAGAAGTAAATATCTACACCACCTAACGAATTGGAAGGGAAGTGATTATTGGGAGCATTGTTGTTGGTCTCCTGCATACGCCAATATGCACTTGGCAAAATTTCTTACACTGATAAGGGAGGTTTTTGATAACTGTCACTCAAAAAATAGATTCGCGGAAGTTATATTTTACACATATGAAGGTTGGTATATCAGCTCGCTTGAGGTTGGTGGTAGAAAACGGTTAGATCAAAACAAATATTATTTTTTTACATGTATGCAGTCTCTGGAGGGGTCAAGCTCATTATCAAATTCGTTCTATTACCGCGCAGCTGCTGGGATTTTAATTTAATCGAAAACCTTTCCTTGATCCAGAAACAAGGATTACCATTGGCTACCAGTGGTAAGGGTATGCAGTGTATTTGAAGAAACTTATAAATTCTGTTTGGCAGTCAACTTGGTGAATTCCATGCTAAAGCGACTGCCTCCAGTGCTCAAAAATGAAGAAGATCAAATCGAATATGGACGAAATGAAAGTATAACAGCTGTATAAAATCCATGAATCATTTTAATAAATAAATTATAGTTACGTTTTCTACTGTGACTTTGTTATTTTACAACTGATGCACCAGCAACCGTCGTCAAAATCGCGAAATTATACATTTTTATGGCATTTGGCTAATAGAATCAGTGACATAAGTGGTTATTATATCAAATATGTTGCGTCTGGTGTGGGGCAATATCATATTCAATCCCGTGAATGAGGCTAGAAAAACTGAGCATTGAGAGGAACAAATGTGATGAAAATCAGGATTTTGTACGAGTTTAGTCCATACCTGAATAATTTTTAATTATTTCTTGCAAATGCCTTAGTTAGAAATATAGAAATCGATTTGGGCCGTTTATAAGCGGACTATTTTTGGATCTCGGAGATACTGAAACACCGAGAGAGTGTGTGTGTGTGCGTGTGTGTGTGGTGTGTGATTGGACGCTGAGTGTGTGCATGCGTGTGTTCGCTTGAGTATGTGCCAGAAACCGGAGCAAAACTAAGCGAAGTGATTATATAGTTCGACATGGGGCCGTTTACTGTAGTGATGACCTCAAAACAGAGCGCTCTCGATTTCGGCTGTGCAAAGTAAGTCAGAGAAGATTCAATTGAGCTATTTATTGAGAACAGACGAAACGAGAAGGGAGCTGTGGAGATATTTGATTTATGAGGTTAGCGACGGAAACCAGTCATCACTGGGGAGATATCACACATGGTTGTGGAAAGTATTCGTAGTGACTCAGATTTGCAAACTCAAACATTTTCGCGTTCACTGAAAGATCGCAATCAGTTCAGCTCAATCAAATTTTTATAGTCCCTGGATT